GAGTGCGTGTGTGTGTGTGTGTGTGTGTGTGTGTGTGTGTGTGTGTGTGTGTGTGTGTGTGTGTGTGTGTGTGTGTGTGTGTGTGTGTGTGTGTGTGTGTGTGTGTGTGTGTGTGGGTGTGGGTGTGTGAGGGAGTGTGTGTGGGGGGGGGGGAGGTGTGTGTGTGTGTGTGAGAGTGTGTGTGTGGGAGTGTGTGTGTGTGTGTGTGTGTCTGAGGGGTGAAGGTGTCTGTGTGTTTGTGTATTTATTACAAGTATATGTATGTGTGCTTGTGTGGGTGTGTTAGTGCCCTTTGCATGTGTGAGGGTGTGCGTCCTCACATGTGTTTTACCACTTGTGATTAGCTCTTGGCGGACAAGGCTCGGAAAATTGCCAGATTCTGCTCGAGAAGCAGTGAAAATTGCAGCACAATACAAACCTTATGGCCGGCACTTACCAGAATACTGCTCTTTTGCTTAATCCACAAACCAAAATATTCATCGGAAATACCAGAAAAAGCATGGCCGAAGTGATGCAACCCATTAGTTAGTATTTAAAAAAGGCGACATGGAGACAATCATCTTAATAATGCAGTGAATAAGCTATATGTGCACTCATATCACAACCATAAGAACGAACAAAGTATTCCAGAGCGTTTTCTTTCCCATAATTTCTCTCCTTTATAGTTTGTATTGCCAGTGCAATTTTTTCCGAAGTGTGTGCTATTTTCTCTTACTATAAATTTTGTAGAAGAGAAAAGGACATATAGATACGAGTTAAGAGTAACTCTCCATCACTGTAACATGATACTATATACAGTCAGAAAGTGCAATAACTAGGCACAAAACTGACAGAGTACTGAGACATTCGAAGTCCTGACATCTAGCTTCAACACATCTCCGTAGGGCTAACCGACAGCCTTCCAACTTGGAAGGTTCAAGGTTATGGAAAGACCAAAGAGGGGAAGGCAAGCGCAACGAAAACGAGCAAAAGCTACAGTCCCAACGGAACAGAGAATGTCGATTGCTACTGGACGATGACGAGACCAGTAGGATATTTGACAAAGCGGTCTAACTACAATTCGAAGCAACAAAGCAGCACACCACCCAACTTGTCAAATATCCTACTGGTCTCGTCATCGTCCAGTAACAATCGACATTCTCTGTTCCGTTGGGACTGTAGCTTTTGCTCGTTTTCGTTGCGCTTGCCTTCCCCTCTTTGGTCTTTCCATAACCTTGAACCTTCCAAGTTGAAAGGCTGTCGGTTAGCGCTACGGAGATGTGTTGAAGCTAGGTGTCAGGACGTCGAATGTCTCAGTACTCTTTCAGTTTTGTGCCTAGTTATTGCACTTTCTGCCTGTATATAGTATCATGTTACAGTGATGGAGAGTTACTCTTAACTCGTATCCATATGTCCTTTTCTCTTCTACTTTTATTTATGGCTCAACATCCGAGTTTAAAATTATAAATTTTGTATCCTCGTTTTTTCACCCCAAGTCCTATTGTAATTCCAGGGTGCGGCAGAGCTCTCGGCCATTGAAGAAAAAGTTTACGGAAGTGTCCTCGCAATGGTGATGCTTGTGTGCAGAAGGGTCTAGTCGGCTAAAGAGCGCAGTGTCAAGTTGGAGGTGGCTCAACAAGTCCTATTGTACTTTCATCATTTTCTTTAGTCAACAATTCAGTTGATGATTGTGAAAAGAAAACGTTCTGGAATACTTTTTTCGTTACTCACGTTATGGTTGTGATATCAGTGTAATTAATTATTATAGTTATATTTATGTACTGAGATGGAGATCCAAGGTTTAATTTATACAAAAGAGAAAGACCAATGGACAGCATAGCGTAACTTAAGTTGTAGTTCCTTGGTCTTTCTCTTTTGTATAGTTATATTCATTGCATTATTATAATTAGAAAGGAAAAGGACATATGGAAACGAGTTAGGAGTAACTCTCCACTACTGTAACTAGGTACTATAGACAGTCAGCAACAACTAGGCACAAAACTGACAGAGGACTGAGACATTCGAAGTCTTGACACCTAGCTTCAACACATCTCCGTAGCGCTAACAGACAGCATGAGGTGTACTGAGGAGCACTGTAGGAGTTTGGCGTTCGGCTTGTACAATTCGTTCTCGCAAAGCTTCCCCCTTCTTTACTTATCTTTGATATTTATGACCCACCCAATTTGGGTGATGTGCTGCTTTGCCGCTTCGAATTGTAGTTAGACCGCTTTGTCAAATCGCCTACTGGTTTTGTCATCGTCCAGTAACAATCGACATTCTTTGTTCCGTTGGGACTGTAGCTTGTGCTCGTTTTCGTTGCGCTTGCCTTCCCCTCTTTGGTATTTCCATAACCTTGAACCTTCCAAGTTGGAAGGCTGTCGGTTAGCGCTACGGAGATGTGTTGAAGCTAGGTGTCCGGACGTAGAATGTCTCAGTACTCTGTCAGTTTTGTGCCTAGTTGTTGCACTTTCTGACTGCATATAGTATCTAGTTACAGTGGTGGAGAGTTACTCCTAACTCGTTTCCATATGTTCTTTTCCGTTCTACTTTTATTATTGGCTCAATATCCGAGTTTCAAATTATTAAAATTGCAATGAATAAACCTAAACGTGCACTCCTAACCTTGTAATGGAGTGCGCATCCAAGATGTGCTAGAGCTCTCACACACTAGAGCTGTTGGCCAGTTAGTCGCAGAACGTCAGTAGTCGGTCAGTGTCGTGCAATGTTATCGCGTGAGCTGATTGTTCAGTAACTGGTGGTGTTAGCGGACATTATAGCATAACTTGTAGTTTCTTGGTCCTTTTTCTTTATCATAACCATGTATAAAACAATTAAAATGAAACAATTCCGGAATGTTTTCTCGTGACTATCATCAGTGGAACATTGTCCCTAAAACAACCAGTTACGTAGCTAGAATAGTATGATAAGGAGTGTGAGAATGTAGCAGCTCGCGGTTATGCATGACGCGTGTAGTGTGAACTTATGCTGTGGATCTGAGAATGGAAACGAGAGAGCTTGGAAGCTGAGGGCCCTACGCTATGCTTTTTTTGCCTTGATGACCTAGAGAAAAGAAGCATAGGGATGTTATATATTCTTATAAATTTCTACTTTTGTTTTTAGACATAACCTGGGTTTCGAACCCGCACTATAGCCCTACATGCACCCCCGATACACTTCGTATACATACTAATTCTTCCAAGTTGCTTCACGTTATGATCTTGTATTTGAAAGCCCTATTTGAATATGCAGTGTGGCCAGCCGTCTTTGATTGTACGGTACGGTACGGGACAGGTACGGGGCAGGTATGGGACAGGTAAGGGACAGGTACGGGACAGGTACGGGACAGGTACGGTCGAGGGTAATACGACACAATCTACCGCCTTGATGACGGCAAAAAAAGAATAGGGATGTTATAAATTTTTCAATTTTCTTATTTTTTCAGGCATTACCTGGGATTCGAACCCGCACTATCGCTCTACATGCATTCCCCCATACACTTCGCATTCATACTCATTCTTCCAAGTAATTAGTTGCTTCACGTTATGATCTTGCGTTTGAAAGCCCTATTTGAATAGGGCAGCCAGCTGTATGTGGCCAGCTGTGTTTGATGGTACGGTACGGTACGGGACAGATACGGGATAGCGCCAGGCGTGACACAAACACACAAACACACAAACAAACACCAAATTAAAGCTGTGTGGACCCTGGCTAGCGCCAGACATTCCTGAAGTAACGTCTTCTGCATAGCTACGGGAATAATACGCACTCACAGCTGCCACATTCATCCACTCCTACCAGTGCCATTATCAGATCCACTGCATAAGTTCATGCATAACCGCGAGCTGCTGCATTCTCACGCTCCTTATCATTATTCTAGCTACGTAACTGGTTGTTTTAGGGACAATGTTCCACTGATGATAGTCACGAGAAAACATTCCGGACTTGTTTTATTTTAATTTTTTTCAATTGTTTTATGCATGGTTATGAGTACACAATTAGTTCTATTCGTTGCTATTTTACGACTGTTGTCTCCTCGTCGGTTATTTAAACTATTAAAATTACTCGGTAATTGATCCAGTATTCCATTTTTCATTTATTTAATCCAGTTTTTAAAGAAATTAAAATTAACAATTTTTATGTTATAGTATACTCTTGAGGGATTTTGAGTCTAAAAATTACTGAAAACCACCACTTTTTATGAAGTTTGAATCAGTTTCTGTTCGTAGAGAAGGAAATTGCATATTTTTTGTCATATTGTTCGTTCCGGCTGTTTGTCATTGACTGTTCTTCAGGGTTGTGTTGCAGGAGGTCGTGGCCGAGGCAGGCCCAGAGTGTCATGGCTTGATAATATTATGTCATGGACTGCACTTGACATGCAGTCCTTGCTAGCTGCTGCACGCGATCGATTTTTATGGCGCTCGCTTGTTCATACTTGCTCTGTGACGCCCCAACGGCCTTAGGGCTATGGGCTTGTGATGTGATGATGATGGATCAGTTTCCGCTATGAGCAAGAAGTTGTCAGGGGTATGGCTCATGGTCTGAGGTTCAACTGACTTCAAACCAGCTAGGTTTGGGCTGATTGTCCCCCAGTGCCGGTTTTTTTGTGGTATTATGAAGACAAAGCTAAGGAAACAGGGCATTTTGTAAAACAAATTAACCCGATTTGCGAATGATTATCATCGTTCATCTAAAAAGTAATCACTAGGTGTAAATCCACAAATCCCGTTCCTTTTTCTTCTCCTCCCTTCTCCCTTCCTTGCCGTGGTTGGCTAACACCCTCTCGATTTGCATTGGCCAGTGTTCTCACTGTGCTATGAGATGCTGTAATAGATAAATAAATAAATGAATAAATCGTTTCAGCCCAAACAAAAAGTACTGAAAAGTACTTATTTGTCCTGCCTGCATTATCTGCCAAGGGCCACGCACGAAAAAGTAGTTGCATGCCACTAAAGAAGCTGATTGTCCAATTTCTACATTTTATCGTGACTTGTTGTGTGTATCACAGGTTGCGTTTTCACACCAAATGCACAGATCACCCTGGAAAAAAAGAACTTCTACCGACAAAAGAAAGCTTTAAAGGTGAGCGCACATCTACTTAGGGGAGGTATTGTGTAGAATCAAAAAATAACGTGGATGCTTGAATTGCTATGATCTCGCCCGTCTTGTTCCGCATCATGACAGTGTACGTGGGCAAGTCTACTTGACCCTCAGCTGCTAGGCTAAATGACCACACCTGAGTTTTCTCGCTAGTGGAATGCCTTGGGACACATCATTGGTACTTCAAGTAACATGTTGCTGATGATGTCGGATCTTTAGCATACTGGACATGAACCTCCAGAATGAACACATTTTTCTAACGTGTTTCCATTGCAAAGTTGTGTCTATTGACTTTGAGCGCTTCGGTGTATCTGAACAGCCGACGATGAGACAACATTTTTCAAATGAAATCTGGAAAGTGATTACATGACATTGTATATGCGTGCAGTCAATCCATCTATTCTTGCATTTACACACGTCATCACGGAACAATTTGTCGTCTATAAGGATGTTTCCTTATGATGGTATTCAGTTAAAATACATCACTGAGTGGTGAGCAGAGATCCATTACAGCCAACAAATCGCTCCTTGATCATGAGAGTAGATGCATGATAGCATAGAATGAATGCACATTATAATTATTACGAAAATATTGGTTGAGACTTCGGCGATGAGTTTTTCAAGTGTCAAGTCAAGTCGGCGGAATATCGCGAGCTCCAGTGTGGGAGCAAACCCATTATAATTATTGATTGCAACTTCGTGTATCTACATGTGTCTTTTCTTTCTTTCTGTCCTTCTTTCCTAGAGATACTCCAGAGCTACTATAACGAGCTGAAATCCTTACCAGAAAGGATCATTGTTTATCGCGATGGCGTAAAAAAGGTACACTGGTGTTCATGCTGTGTCTTAAAGAAAACCCTAAACCCTGTCTCATCACTAGACGAGAGACGTCCTCGCCGAGGTCGATTGCACTAGCACAGAAGCAGAACACAGCCACCCTCAGACCGATAGGCAGCATGTTGGCGGTATAATGTTAGTTATCTGCGTCTGTCCCTTTCCTGTCTTACTGTTATCACAACTACGCTGAATTCTATGAAACCTTTGTTCTTGCTACTTGTCTGCGCAATTCTGTTAGAGAATCAGAAGGAATACTGTTTTCTTAAATTGCTACAAAGCACAAACAAACAACCTTCCAACTTGGTAGGCTCAGGTTAGAAAAGGTGCAAGACGGGGAGGTAAGGGCAATGAAGAAGAGCACGAGCTAAGCCCCTCGGCAACAAAGAATACCGACATTTACTGGATAATCCCAAAAATAGCAAGGCAATTGGACATACTTCTCTTCCTACAACTCAGATCCTGAGCAGTCAAATTGGAAGGACAACATGGTACTAGTTGTGACTAACCTACTTTTTGGTTCGTTACAATTGCAGGAACTTGGAGCTAGGTATCAGGTCGTTGAATGTCTCAGTACTCTCTGTCTGTGTTGTGCATTTTGTCACGCTCGCCGACCGTATACTTATGATAATGGTGAAGTAGTAGTAGTAGTACAAGTAGTAGTAGTAGTAGTAGTAGTAGTAGTAGTAGTAGTAGTAGTAGTAGTAGTAGTAGTAGTAGTAGTAGTAGTAGTAGTAGTAGTAGTAGTATTTATAATTTTACTAGGGTATACCCAACAGGCCTATGGCCTTCTTACAGGGTGGCCAAGAAGAAATTGTGAGAAGCTAGCGAGAAAAGCAGGCAAAGTACACTGGGATCGAATGGTAGCGGGTAGTGCATTAAAGCGGTCAGCACCAAGAAATGAGAGACTGTAATAGCCTGGCCGGGACTTGAATTGGGGGGGGGGGGGGGGGGGGGCGGGCGAAAGAGACTACTGAATGTTTGGCCTCTGGTTTGGGAGGTAGTGTGGGCAGCATCATTTCCGGTCGTGAAGATTTGGGAGGTGAGGGGACTGACAAGGGACCTGATGCACCGAAAAGTAAAAATGAAAAGCTTAAAAAAGTGAGGCGTAGGCTGAGTGAGGGAGGTTGTGACAACGCAAAATGGGCTCAACGTCAGCACGGGAAGGGTAGGCAAATACAATACGAACAGCTCGGCGGCTCCGTCCCAGAAGCTTATCGTATTCTGCAGCGTGTAGTAAATTAACATATGATGTGCTTGCGTACTCTAATCTGCTCTGTGTAACTCCGAGATAGAACGCTCGGCGAGCCTTACTGTCCAGGTTGTCTCTGCCTCGCCTAAAAGCATCTAGCTTCTTATTAATAGCCGTGATGCCGAAATAATTACAAGTAGAAAGGAAAAGGACATATGGAAACCAGTTAAAGGGGAAGTTAAGGTTGTAGTCTTTGGGGTGTTGAGTCGAATGGTCTTGGTCCGAGAAAGCTGAGACGCTCCCTTCCTACTTGAATCCCAATCGAACTCGCGCACTTCCACCGAAACTGGGTGACTGCGCTATACTAGATGGGGATTTGTATGCAAAATGTCACTAAAAGCGCCATTTCGGTCTTATAAAAGCACGGATGACCGCGATTGGCCCATATGTTGTACTCTTTTGAACGCTGAGTCGACTGGTTTTGGTCCGAAAAGGCTGCGATGCAGCGTTCCTCCTTTATTCCCAATCGAACACGGTTGAACAAGCGGTCACGTGCTCCTGGGTGCCCAAATCACCTGGTCACCACGCCAGCAGGCGACAACTTTCATACCAAGGTTCAACTCGAGTTCAACTCGAGTGACAGGACTGCACCCAAAAAAGGTCAAACAGGCTAGTAAGTTGTACCCTGCAGGCACGATGACCAGGTGACTGGTGTACGCAGGAGCACGTGACCGCTTGTTCAACCATGTTCGATTAGGAATAAAGGAGGAACGCTGCATCTCAGCCTTTTCGGACCAAAACCAATCGACTCAGCGTCCAAAAGACTACAACATATGGGCCAATCGCGGTCATCCATGCTTGTATAAGAACGAAATGGCGCTTTTAGTGACATTTTGCATACAAATCCCCATCTAGTAGGGCGCAGTCACACAGTTTCGGTGGAAGTGCGCGAGTTCGATTGGGATTCAATTAGGAAGGGAGCGTCTCGTCTTCCTCGGACCACGACCATTCGACTCAGCACCCCGAAGACCACAACCGGTGAAATTTTAATTTTTGCCTTAACTTCCCCTTTAAAGTAACTCTCCACCACTGTAACTAGATACTATATACAGTCAGAAAGTGCAACAACTAGGCATAAAACTGACAGAGTGCTAAGACATTCGCGGTCCTGACTCGTAGCTGCAACACATTTCCGTAGCGCTAACCGACAGCCTTCCGACTTGGAAGGTTCAAGGTTATGGAAAGACCATAGAGGGGAAGGCAAGCGCAACGAAAACGAGCACAAGCTACAGTCCCAACGGAACAAAGAGTGTCGATTGTTACTGGACGATGACGAGATCAGTAGGATATTTGACAAAGCGGTCTAACTACAATTCGAAGCAGCAAAGCAGCACACCACCCAACTTGGGAGGGTCATAAATATCAAAGATAACTCTTAACTCGTTTCCATATGTCCTTTTCCTTTCTACTTTCATTATTGGCTCATTACCCGAGTTTCAAAGGATAATACAAAAAAATATTATCTACGCATGCATCTACGCAAGAATCACCACCAGTCAATTAGAACATGTGTCAAAAAGTATGGAACGTTTTCGTTCCGTTCGTTCCATTCTTCTCAAAATACTACAGGGAATGATGGAATAATAATAATAATAACAATAACAATTCGAAGCAGCAAAGCAGCAAAGCAGCACACCACCCAAATTGGGTGGGTCATAAATATCAAATATAAGTAAAGAAAGGGGAAGGTTTGCGAAAACGAATTGTACAAGCCGAAAGCCAAACTCCTACAGTATTCCTCATGCATGACATTGTGATGGACTAGTTGACATCAAAACAAGTTGTTTCACACGATGTACGTTTCGCCGTATGGCTCATCAGGTGTGCAATTTGAAACTCGGGTATTGAGCCAATAATAAAAGTAGAAAGGAAAAGGACTTATGGAAACGAGTTCAGAGTAACTCTCCACCACCGTAACTAGATACAAGTGCTCCCTCATTATAACGAGTCCGGTTAGTACATAAACCCCGTTATAAATAGAAATCTGAAGTCCCCTGGCGAAACGTGGTCTATACAACTGTTTACAGGTCCGGTTACAACATGATCTGTTAGTACATAAAATTCGTTATAACGACCCTTTTCCCAGGTTCCTGGAGTGCCAAACCCTCAGTACAAGATAATACTGACCATGCAGGACTAAGGCCAAAACTCGTAGGATAAAGCAGAAAGACGAAACGTATTATATCTATGTGTTCGTGAACATGCACGATCCTTTGCATCCAAGGAAAAGTTAGGTTGGAGATTTTCAATTATCTGATGCTTCAACTTAGAGTTGAAGCATCGATAATTTATATTGTATCGAGGGTAGCCCCGGTAAGTACGAAGGAGTGCCTACTTCACTTTTAGCTGCAAGTCCTGCTACAAGATAAGTCTCGTTATAAGATACCTTTTTCGATGGCCCAGAGAGTATCTACTAACAAGGGAGGACCTGTACTATTTACAGTCAGAAAGTGCAATAACTAGGCAAAAAACTGACAGAGTACTGAGACATTCGACGTCCTGACACCTAGCTTCAACACATCTGCATAGCGCTAACCAACAGCCTTCCAACTTGGAAGGTTCAAGGTTATGGACAGACCAAAGAGGGGAAAGCAAGCGCAACGAAAACGAGCAAAAGCTACAGTCCCAACAGAAGAAAGCGCTGCCTTCCCCTCTTTGGGCTTTCCATAACCTTATAATAATAATAATAATAATTGTAGATAGGAAAAGGACAATGTCCTTTTCCTATCTACAATAATAATAATAATAATAATAATAATAACAATGTTGGTGTCACTATTATTATTTTCCTTCGAGTTTTGTGTCGTGCTAAACTTGATAATTTTCCACCTTGTCACGAGTGTTGTTATCTAATTATCTTTACGCTATATAAGTTTTAGTCTTTCCAGCTTGAGCCATTCCCTGTATAATCCTTGATGAGAAGGGACCGAAAACGTTCGGATACTTATGACAAGTGCCTTATTATGACTGGATGTGTGTTTGCGTGGATATTTGCGACCCATAACTTACCTTCGTTTTAAAATAATAATAATAATAATAATAATAATCGAATAATAATAATAATAATGCCCGTTAGTGCAAGCGTGTTCTTACTTGATTGGTATCAAGAGTACATAAAGAAGAGTGTGCAACTCCGGATCTCTCCTGCACACCCCGCAGATACACCGGCCCATGGCGGAATGTTTTGTTGGCGTCACCTTTTTTCTTCTTCTTCAGAACACGCCCATTTTTGCCTGACAGCAGTGTGAGAAGACATGCTGGCCACTGACTTTGTAATGTAAAGTCCGCCCAAGTGCACGAGGCAAAACTTTCCAAAAGACTCACGGCGCGTGCGTCGTACAAAATATTACTTCTACAGAAAATTCCGCCGTATGCGAACCCATCAAGGAGTTGCACACTCTTGTTTATCTCCTCTTGCTGGGATGTGCTAGGAGGGGATGATTAACAAGACACTCCTGATGCTCGGTATCCAGGCTACTCTGACACTTGGGGGGGGGGGGGGGGCGTTCGTTTTGATCCACAGGTTTGGGTGGAAACTACTTCTTCTTAAAAGGGTATATTCTACTTTCGTCTACCGGCTCTATCAAGAAAAAATTGGTAGCAGCCGGTAGAAGTTGGTAGAGCTACGGGATTTCCAGCAACTCCATACAGACGAGTTCATGTACATAAAGTTTAAACTACTAAATCCGGTAGAATAGCGTCCGTGCGCTTATCTCTACCATCCACAGTGCTGACAACAGAAATCCGACCCCCCCCCCCCGCGTCTCGCACGAATCGCGAACGCGGCTAGCGCACGGCTAGGGAGGTCGGATTTCAGTTGCCAGCACTGTACCTCTAGCGGTTGAGTGACATTACTCTACTCTTCCAGGTAGATGAAAAAGAACGCAACCTAAGTGATCCGTGACACGTACATTGTCATTGCGTATCTACGGACAAATCAACCCTATAGTATTCTCGACCCCAAACACGAGGTGGCTTTTATCCCAACTAACTTGTGTGTAAATTTGAACTCGCACTCGCACTCGCTGACTGTATAAGATCTGGTTACGTTGGTGGACAGTTTATCATAACTCGTAAAATTTTGTCCTTTTCCTTTCTTCAACATAACTTGTGTGTACTTGGTTGTAGATTCACGCATTATTCAATTTATGAGACTGCGGAATGTGTGTACGTGACGCCATGCTTGCTACTTGACCTTTTCTTGTCGATTGAGGACATGTTCTCCAACAAAACCTTGTATTTTTCAGGAAGAAGATGCTATTCGGGTGGAGATTATCAACTTGGACAACGGTATTTTCGGTGCTCTCTCGGAAGTCTCACAGTTCCAGGGCCTGAATTCGGATATCAGTCACTGCGGTGTTGAGCTTCTCTTCATCGTTGTTGCAAAGAGAAACGCCCAACGATTTTATCACACGTCGGGCGAAACAGGAGCATGTAATCCTGCTCCAGGTACAAGCATAAGCACGGCAGTTAACTATTATGGGTAAGCTGGGGGCCTTGCCAGGCCAAGTTTGTTTCCACAGAAGACAAGTGAATGATTTGAGAATCTAATGGACATGGCCCAAACCTACACTTTCTTGCTACTGCTTCTGCCAGAAGCAACAAAATCTGTATGACCTTAACCTGTATCCTGCCATTATTCCCATATAGGAACAAGAATTAGGGAAAGGATTCCAGTGGCCAAACAAGTTGTCAGAGCAATCTATTTTCTTTTTTTATGGTTCATCGTCCCTATATGAACCCAGAACAATATTTGGAGGTACAAACCGTCTCCTATGTGCAGTGGACTTCCAATACTGAACCAAGTTAGCGTATATCGGAAGCAATTTATGTAATATATAAATGGTTGAATGACCACATGTCATCATTTTCTCAATGCACTATGTTTTTAGCCTTGGACTATGATGTGGGGTTGTGCCTGTCAAATGCCTACTGTAGTAATGTGGACATTCATACCGAAGTTATAGGCTTTTGAAATCTGATGTTCCCATACGGCAACCACAAGAACACGTACACCAAAATATAGAAACAAAACAATAGGAGGACAGAGAAAGTGTTTTACTCCGAGTTTCACGCACTAAGTGATCGTCAGAAAACAGCTTTTCTGATGATCGCTTAGTGCGTGAAACTCGGAGTAAAGACACTTTCTCTGTCCACCTATTGTCCGCCTCCGGCAGTGAAAAAAAAAAAAAAAAAAAAAACCCTATTGTTTGAACCAGCTCTACCACTCGGTATTGAGCATTCTCTTGGACAGCCCGGTACCTCTCTGTTCTTATACCAAAATATACCCTGTTTCGGAAGGTTTGCAGGTTAGTTTTTATCAATTCAGCTTGGGAGGGGGGAGGGGCAGATCTAGCACCAGTGACTGGGTGTGAGATTCACCGTAGGTTGCAACTCCTTTTGAACATACACATCGCTTTCTCTCTCTCTCTCTCTCTCTCTCTCTCTCTCTCTCTCTCTCTCTCTCTCTCTCTCTCTCTCTCTCTCTCTCTCTCTCTCTCTCTCTCTCTCTCTCTCTCTCTCTCTCTCTCTCTCTCTCTCTCTCTCTGTATGTTGAAAACAGTAACAGGGTCCTCAGCGAGAAAATATGTTGTTTCTTTCATTATTTAAACTCGGATACTGAGCCAGTAATAAAATGTAAAAAAGGAGAAGAAATACATGAGAACGAGTTATGCAGCAACTATCCAGGACTGTAACAAGATGATCAACGGTCAGAAAGTGCGATAATAGGGCACAGAACTGACAGGCTACTGAGGCATTCAGCGACCTGAGACCTAGCTCTAACACATCTCCAGTGCGCAAACCAACAGCCTTCCAACTTGAAAGGCTCATGGTTGAGACGGTTGTATTGTCCAGGATAACTCTGCCTTCATCAGCAATCAGAAGCCCTCTAAATACCAGTACAGCAATACAGGTGCTAATGCATATAGTGTAAAGTATGATGATGATTGTGTCAAGTGTCACGTAGGAGGTGTGTATAGCACACCGCTCACATGGTTACGTAGGACCGAAGAGGGGAAGTCAGTCCTACGTAACCATGAACCTTCCAAGTTGGAAGGCTGTTGGTTTGCGCACTGGAGATGTGTTAGAGCTAGGTCTCGGGTCGCTGAATGTCTCAGTAGCCTGTCAGTTCTGTGCCCTATTATCGCCATTTCTGACCGTTTATCATCTTGTTACAGTCGTGGATAGTTCCTGCATAACTCGTTCTCATGTATTTCTTCTCTTTTTTACCTATTATTATTATTTTATTATTATAACTTGCATGTACGCATTGGAGTCCACCATACAAGCATGATTCACAACTTCACTTATGCCGAACATGATAAACAGGTCTATGACAGGGGAAAAATTGAGCTAGAACGATGATGCAATGAATATAACTAAATGCGCACTCATATCACAACCATGGGGACGAATCATGTACATGTATTCCAGAACGTTTTCTTGTCACAATTATCAATGGAATTCGTGACTAAAGAGGATGATGAAACTACAATAGGATTTATACACTTGGAGTGGAACAGCGAGGATACAAGCATAGTAAGAAAAATAGCACAAACCTAGGAACAATGTGCACAGGTAATAAACTATAGGTGAGGTGAGAAATGATAGGAAATTCAGCAAGTGCAGTGTGACAATGGACATGCATGTGCAAGTGTGTGTAAGACACAGTGTCGAATTCATTTTCGTTGCATCTTTCCAGTCACCTCTGCAAACCGAGCTGCCAGCCGTTTGCTCCTTCTCAGCTTTGGTGAGTTGCGGTTGTCTGCGTCCGGCGTACCGGTACTCGCTGATAATGAAGATAAGACACAGTGTCGAATTCATTATCAGCGAGTACCGGTACGCCGGACGCAGACAACCGCAACTCACCAAAGCTGAGAAGGAGCAAACGGCTGGCAGCTCGGTTTGCAGAGGTGACTGGAAAGATGCAACGAAACTCTGCGGATATGGATGATGCCAGCGGAAGGGTTGACGACTGTGAGGTGTTTGGCAATGGCAAGGGAAGACCGGTCAGGAAGAGAACGCGACGGCAGCTGGAGGAGGAGTGTGGAAGCGACATGTGCAGTGACGATGATGAACCCGGTGGTCAGTTGCTGGGAGAGCTGACGACAGGTGAAGGTGGCAGCGATGATGAAGAGGACGATGACGATGATGACGATGATGGTGCAGATGGTGTGAAGGACGGTGGTGGTCAGAAACCAAGTGAAGGCAGAGGCGGTGAGAAGAAGAAGAATACATCGGCAATTAAATTGCATTTGTTGTCTAGCCCCGTGTGTCGTGAAAGTTATGATGATTCTTGGTTCAGTGTTGTTCGTTCTGCAAGTAGTTTCAAGCAGTTGAAAGTTCTAGAAGCAGTCTACATTCGCATTCGTGATCCAAATCTTTGTAAACAAAAAGAAAATGTCACCGCACTTACGCTATTCCAGTAAATTCGCACTCACACACACTTGCACATGCATGTCCATTGTCACGCTGCACTTGCTGAATTTCCTATCATTTCTCACCTCACCTATAGTTTATTACCTGTGCACATTGTTCCTAGGTTTGTGCTATTTTCTTACTATGCTTGTATCCTCGCTGTTCCACTCCAAGTGTATAAATCCTATTGTAGTTTCATCATTCTCTTTAGTCACGAACAAATAAAAAACAGAACCAAAAAAAACACAAGACAAAACGAGCCGCGAGGGGGGGGGGGGGCAAACCACTTGACTGACAAGCTGAGCTTAGCTAACCGAGCCACAAGGCTGAAGGCGGCACAGGTACTGGATAAGCATAGCTGCAGGAGTTCATAGAGCGCAACACTCTCGTTTAGCATGTGTGTGCTCTTTTGCTGATACATGTCCTCACCATCACTCCTGCCCAGTGCAACCCCTACTCAGTAGCTGTTTGTTTTTGTCCACATAATTATGTATTTTACGAGTTGTGTTAATCAATAAATTAATTATGATAAAGAAAGGTAAAGGACAAAATGTTACGAGTTACGACAGACTGTCCACCAACGTAACCAGATCATATACAGTCAGCAAGTGCGACAAAATGGCACAAAACTGACAAGGAGTACTGAGACATTCGGCCACCTGACACCTAGCTCCAACACTTCTCCAAGGCGCAAACCAACAACCTTCGCACTTGCTGACTGTATAAGATCTGGTTACGTTGGTGGACAGTCTGTCATAACTCGTAGCATTTTGTCCTTTACCGTTCTTTATCATAACTATATTGGCTCACCATCTGAGTTCAATAAATTAATAATAGTAAAAAAATTCAAATTAAAAAAGAATGTATTTGCTATATGGGTGTTCAATGTGTAACACGGTTATAAACTATTTTTTGTCTCTTTCCTAACCTAAAGGGATGCTCCTGCGGATGATGGTCAAGCGATGGCAATGGAGCTCCCAAATAATGGAAATATGCTTAGCTGCCTGGCGCCTTATCAACTTAAAACATATGAAGTGCCATCGCCTCTGTACAGCTACTTGATAAATACAAGTAATAACATCATACCTGGGAAAGAGGAACATGCGAAGACCTCGTCTGCGCCACATTGCCACACTGTTGTAATGCACCGTTATCTCCCTTACGGTGAACAGCTGACGGCCTATATCGAAGGCAGGCTCAACGCAGACATGATGTATGCAATCCCATGGCGTCTGAGAAGTCTAGTAAAAGAGTTTCGGAAAGGAAAGGTCACCCGTCAAAATTTCGATGAACAGGTGCTAGTGCTACAAGGTGCTGGCATTGGCAAATTGACTTATCAGAAGATCCTCAACCACGTAATGCAAACTTCCCGATTCCAATTCAAAACTCAGGTGAGAGTTTTTTGCTTTGTTTTCCTAGCTTACTATTGCCGTGGATGGCTCAACGCCCTTGTCTCAGGGGATTCTGTCCCTGCATTAGCTATGCTTGTCACACGCTATGAGATTGTGTCTAATAATAATAATAATAATAATAATAATAGTTATCACTGAATAGTGTTGGCCCTCTGAGTTATTCAGGGAATAATTTTAACCCTTTGCCGGCAAGTTACTTTTGTATGTGAAATCCATAACATTTAGAAAGATGCCAATAACTCACAACGAGGCCACATTTTGTACGTGCAAGTTATGTTTTCTCGGAAGTCTAGTACTACTTCTTGACCATGGAAAAATTTATTTTCTGATACCACACACATATGCTGCTAAATTGGCACCTCTACGTCTAAACACGGAAATTGTACACATGCAAATCGTCAGAGTTCCGACATTGACATGATATTGCCAAAACAAGTCGACTTCGGAGCGGAAACAAACGCCATAGCCATCACAAACTTCAGTGGCCATGCTTCGCTCGCAAATGAGAGCAGCATCGCCCCAGAATTGCTGTCGGAAAGCTCCGTACGGTCGCACGCACGCCGCGCTGCGCTGCCGTCACTCAGGCACATAGAAAGTCGATGGCCTAAATTCCGTCTCTGGGAGACTGTCGACACGGGGATCGCTCTCCATGGCTTCCCCAACATAAGCACCATCAGCTTCGTCCAGGTACATCACGACGACATCGTCTTCAGCGGCTGGCGCTCCCCATATTTGCGTGAGAATTTACTTGGCGTGCGCCCCGCTCCGTAATTTGAAATTCGCTTGCATCGGCGGCTGGAACGAAGTATTTATCTATCTGTCGTCGGTCCCAGAGCGAATGACTGCTAGGTCCTCGTCGGAGAAGTCATCCGAGGACGAAAGGAACTCACTGCGCAAGAGAAAATGCATCTGACGATGTTTTGACGGAGGCGGACGGCATTGTCGGCGCGCGTGTATTTCCGTAAGTTTTCGATCGCGCAGTTCTCAATGAAATCAAATGGGACACGCGTGAATCTCTTCAGCTACCGATAGGATCATACCTTGGCTGTGTGAGGGCCACGGGAAATCCCCGTGGGCTGATGCTTCCCGTCATGCCAGGCATGGTTTTGTATGCATGTCGAATGCGTCAACGTTGACGCATTCAAGTATGGGGCTGCCGGTAAAGGGTTAAAAACCGGTATCGCATCGGAGTTTGCTGAGCAATTCTTCGGAGGTGCAAAGCAAATCAGAAATTTGGAGCAGAAACCTGCGATGCATGTAGTGCGTTCCCTGTAACCTATGATGCACAGTGTGCATGCCAGGTGTGTCTTATAGGGATGAAATCGAGTGGTCTGAGCTTGCACTCTGACTATCTCTGCAGAAAGACAATATTGTCAAGTGTCGAAGAAAGTTGCTACGCAACATTTTTGAATTGCTATTCAAGTTTGATTTTGTGTAGCAAAATTGCAATACCAAAAAAATCATATTTAAAAACTTTATTCCTGGTGATATGTATTAAGAACTCAGATGGTGAGCCAAGGAAAAAATTTTAACATGGAAACTTTGGGCAAAGGTACAGCATTTCTGTGATTGGCTTCTGTGGCAGTGGTGCTTGACTGGGGCAGACCTTTATCGTCTTAATTAACGGAAGGGGCCCACGAGAAATGTGATTACAAAACACGAATATGGAAACAACTTTGAAAGAAAATTGAAAGCTGTCTTGCCAGTACATGGAATGTTATGTACTATGAACGTTTGTCCGTGACTACAATTATTCCTACATTGAATGTTCGAAAGAGACACTCTGGCCGAGATTTTATGTCCATCAGCAATCGACTCCACTTATAGCGAATTTCGAGATAATTATAGAGAATCGTTGTAGATGTCCCAATTTGAATGCACAGTTTAAGTGCATTTCTGCCATAACAAACTTCTGCTTTAAAGACGGAATTCTCCTGAACAATTAAACCCAACACGAATGAAAAATGAGAAATAGAATAAAAGATTTGCAAAAAATTCAATATCGAACACGAATAAAAAATAATAATAAGAATGTAAAAAAATATAGAAAAGAAAAAGGACATTATGGTAACGAGTCAAGAGTAACTCTTCACCACAGTAACTAGATACTATATACAGTCAGAAAGTGCAATAACTAGGCACAAAACTGACAGAGTACTGAGACATTCGACGTCCTGACACCCCTGAGTTACTCTTGACTCGTTACCCTAATATATCCTTTTTCTTTTCTACATTTATTATTGGCTCAATACCCGAGTAAAAAATTAAAAAATTAAAAATATTTTTAAAAACAAACGGCGAGGAGACAATAATTTGATAACCGCAATGAATAAAACTAGCTGAACCGACATTTGCCGGATACCGCCAGCCATGCATCGACCAGGCACCAGGCGCGAACTGATGGTGGTGGTGGTGGTGAGAAGGAGGGATCTGTGCCAGAACATTGCAGCCTGGAGAGCGTGTGTGGGCAGGCGTGTGTTTACCGCCATATTGCCAGGTGTGTCTTTACCACCATATTTATCAACCATAAGTACAGCTGCAGTTGTGTCTTCAACTTCATTCTCCTGAACCGACATTTGTGTACTTTATTCATGCAATGTATAAACGGTGGAGACGATGTGCAATATGGATTCAAACAAGTTTTCGTACAACACTCATCAGGAATCGTCGTTGTACTAAAGGACGCTGAAACCAAAATTGAACTATTTAATATAGAAAATCTAAGTTAAGAAGACGGGTCATATAGCAGTCGTGAGCAGCTCGGTGCTGTACTGCAATACATGGAAGGGCTGAAAAATGACAAATGACAAGCAATTTTTTTACTGGGAACACAGCCTTACAGCGAGACATGTGGAGACAAGCTATGTAAACAAAGATGGCGTATGTCATCAGTGAATGGCACAAGTTCATTCAAACTTCTCGCCCTTTCACGCAAAGTGTAGCGAATATAGACTAGTAGGTACTTGGCTTGGCTGTAACATAACTCTGGTGTAAGCATTGACGGATAATGCTCGAAAAGGTGGCAGATTCTGCTCGAAAAGCAGTGAAATTGCCAGAACCATACAAACCTTATGGCGGGCAATTCCTCGAATTCTGCTCCATTTCTTTATCCACATACCAAACATGGTATGAAACTTACCAGAAAAAGTACCGAATTCTGCCAACTTTTCTGCCAGCACTATCCGCAAAGGCCTACTCCGGTGTAAAGAGGGAATCACAGAAGCTTTTTTTGTGATACGATGGGCGATGCGACGCGATCTGCAAGGGATGCGAACTCGTGAAAATACTATCCACAGAAGAAGTCAGCAATGCCACGACGTCTTGCTGATTTTGCACGAAATTCAATGCAGATGAGTATGTCACCATGGCATTCGCGTGACTTGGTACACCTTGTACAAATTTGCAAGCAACTCTTGAACCTTTGTGCAACTTTGATGCAGAAAAGGTCAAATTGTACGCCAAATCACTTGTCGCATTGCGAAATTTGAGGCAAGCTCCACTTCTGCGATGGCCCAGGTGCAGCGGTCGCGTGGGCTGCCAGATGGCTACAAATTGGGGATTTCCTGGTTTCTTGGTTGTCGCATCGCTCATCGCACCGCAAAAAAAGCTTCTTTGAATCCCGCTTAACGGTCCGGCTGTTCTCTATGTTCCTTCCCTTGGCGGAGCCGAAGCATTTCGAAGAGCTATGCAACCCAGACGTTTGCGCATATTTCTTCTGTTTCAATTCTTTGCAGTGCATTGCCCACGATCCTGCTCCCGTTTTCTACGCAGACTTGGCTGCCCGATTCCACGCGAGCGCACGGCGTTCTGAATGTCCTGAAATGCTACGATCAATGTTATATTATCTGTGAGCATTGCCTTCAGGCGATATTCGACTTTTCTATCCCTGGCTGCGGACGTTTCAAAGCAAGCTGTGCAGATTAACATGCAAGGGAAGCACACCGTTGCAAGCTAGCCCAGTGAATAGAGATACGTTCTAGTAGACATTCAGCTGCTGCACGCCATGTAACGTTACAAAGTGACAACACGCTGTACAAAGCAAGCATGTGTATTGGCCACTGGCGCAGTTCATTCGCTTAGCAAAGCTGTTTGCCGTGCACAGGCTCCTATTTTTCGTTGGTTTTGCTCCATTGCGATTGTGAGAGTGAGACGCACGCTTCTGATGTTTGATTTGAGCATGGTGATGTCCACCAGCCGCTTTGTGCATGAATAGTAACTGTTAGTGATCTTGCATGCAATCTATGACCAAAAATTAATGTTGCACACTATCATTTTGATTGTCTTGCGTGACAGCAGCTATGTGTGAGCGACACAAAGTAAAATTCACTCTTGCGCATTGCCTTTATCTCTTACGATGACTATCCTGAAATCGAAACATTAAAGTATTCGTATTCTGCTGTATGCATTTGGTTGAAGAAGTTGCTATGGGAACGTCCAGAGACACAAATATCATCACAGAAGGAAACACACATACACACACACACACACACACACACACACACATGCCCAAAAATACCATGTATCCTGAATACACCTGTCGCAAGAGAGGTACGCAAATCTGCAAATCCACTCGATGTGCCCCCGACACATTTTCTCAACGATAGCGAACAAGATCTGAATGAGACAGATCAAGACACACACACACAAACACACACACACACACACACATGCGCCCACCCACACATGCGTTTGGATATCTTCAGGGATGATACTGTGCAATGACAGAGGAAAGCCTGCTACACATTCGACCAGTTTGGCTAATAATGATGAAAATACAGCACGCACAAAGCTCGCATGAAAAATCAAATGGGATACATGCATCTGTCGACAATGTCGAGCCATTGTGTTCTATCTGTGGCAAGTTTTTCCGCTTCCAAAAGAGACATGTTGGGCAACCCCTGGGCTTCTTTCCATCTATTAGATAGACTAGACAAGAAAGCTTGCGCCCATGCATGGTCAACGCTAGGGATGAAGTAAGTAAGGGACTAGGGATGAAGTAAGTAGTCGGTTCGCTGACGACAGTTGGTTGCCGAGAGCCAGTCCTATGCCAACTACCCGGTACACCTGCTCACCTACCGTTTATGGCATTTGAGCCTCTAGATCCGAAAAGGGGGCTTGTCTCGTTTCGCGTGAGTAAATTAAATTATCGTATCCGTTCCCGAAGGGAACACACGACGGCCGCTAACACCCGATAAACCCTAGCGGCAGATGCAGCGCCTTGTCGTTTCGCGTAGTATTGAGAAAATGCATTTGAAATTTGAGTTTTCCGCATAAAGCGATGTATAATTCACTTATTGAAACACCCATAGCTCTGTGAAATATTTTGGACCTAGGTTTTTACACAGTGATCTGATAGGATACAGTAATGCCATGGTAAAGATAACTCAAAAGGCTTAAAAATGACATAAGCCCCCTTTTTGGATATAGAGGCTCATTTAATCATGTGCTAGTGCGCACACCCGTACGCCCCCCCCCCCCCCCCAAACACACATGCCCTTTTGAAACAGGCATGAGCACGTACATGCAAGAGACCACGCTAGCTGCAGTGGTCATCCAGCGTACATGCTTATCTCCCACCTACATGTATGCACTAGTACTACGCACACAACCCCCCCCCCCCCCTCCCTCCATACCCATATACAGGCATGAGCACATACATGTACATGCAAGAGATCACACTAGATGCAGGGGGGGGTCCCCCGGAGTACTGATCCGTGCAATGGTATGACATACCGTATTTCCCCCAATATAACTCGCACCTTTTACACTAAACTTCAAGGGCGAAGAAGGGGATGCGACTTTCAATCGAGAGTGACATCCTAGTTACATGCATGTGTTGAAACAATGTGGTTCAAACCTCAAAATGGGGGCGCAACTTATGATCAAGTTCGCCTTACAATCGGGGAAGAACGGTAATCAAAGCGAGTGCTGTACAGTCGTGGGTCTCTATTACAAATCCATGAACTGGTGCACCGCACGTACTTCTTCAGTCGTCTCTAGTTCATTGCAGAGGGCCTGGGGCGGAGCTGGTCCCCTTTCAGGGGGGGGGGGGGGGGGGGACACGGCCGCATGTTGGTGTAGGATGGCTTGATCATGTCACTCATGGTCAATATGTGCATTCTGAACCTAGGTAGAAATTCTTTTTTTGGGCGGTGGGAGAGCACGTGTCCTCTTCAGCCATGCATCGACGTTGCCATGCAACCATCCAGCCATACTGCCATGCAGTCGTCCAGTCATTTTGCCATTCAGTCATACTGCCACATAGCCACACAGCAATCCATCAATACAGCCAACCAGCAATCCAGCCACGCAATCACCCATCTCGTCCGTCCAGTCAGCCAGTCAACGAGTTATCCAGCAATGTAGAGCCGCACAGCCATACAGCCATCAAGCCATGCAGCCGCACACCTATCTTGCCATGCTTCCATCCAGCAATGACGGATCTGCATTGCAAGCACAGGCTGTTCGCGAAATTTCCAGCGAATGTACCACTCTAGAATACCATACACCCAATAAAACAGAAATGTTCCATGTTCCAGTCTGTCCAAAAGAGCGATTTTTCAGCACTCTTTCGTACAGACTGGAACATCACTGTTTTAAATGTCCGAGGGCAGAACCACTTACGACAAGGAAAAAGTAGAGGTGGATGAGCAATTCGTCGTAAGTCAAACTTTCACGAAAGAGGCGATTATCAGAAAACAGACAACTGTTGCCTGATGATCGTGTCGTGCGTGAAACGTTGTATTACAATGAACTATTCAATCTCCTCTACTTGACTTGTTACAATGCACCCATTAGAAAGAAACAAAATTTGTCGGTAAAAGAGAAGAAGATCAATATCGAGTTCAGTCCAGGGTTATCATAGAGGAAGACACACTTCATTGCGAATTACCCTTGCAATCAAGCGCAGCAACACCACTGCGAGGCCAGATGTGATGATGATGACGAGAGAGTGAGAGATTGTGCCGTTCGAGCAGCAAGAACGCTCTGGACGGCCATTCAGGTAACTGTCGACGAACGCCTAAAGGATGCGAGTTACAGCGCGTCCGTCTCAGTGACATCCTGCAAGAGCAAAACAGAACCCATGATAATAATTATCGACGTATTTTCCGGAGCATAAGGTGCACTGGAGTATGAGCCGCAGCCAGATTTCTTGTTCCAAAATACACAAAGGCACACAATGAAAACCTTGGGCAAAATCTGTTGTGACTCAGAGTTTCATGGCTGAACCAATCATCAGACAACGAAAATTTCCCCCAATATACAGATGTCTAACAGTTACCACGTATTTCACGGTTCATTCAACCATGCATGGTAGTAAAAGCCACACCGTTTTTGGGTAAACTGCGAATGTTTAAAGCGTGGTTCCAACTTTCTAAAATAATGTAGGTCATGCAAACCAGGCAGTGAAGTCTTTCAGCAAGGTTTGAAATTGTTTACTGTCGGAGAAGAATGGAAGCGCCATGGATACACTTGTGAAGTTGCCGTGAGCGGATAGGTATTATCTGTGAGTATGTGCATGTGTGAGTGTATGTGTGTGTGTGGGGGGGGGGCATGCATAAGTTTATGCACATACTCATACACACACATGTGGGTGAGTGGAAGGAGCATGGATGGGGGTGGGGGGTGTAATAATATAGTATCTCACCGAATTACTCTCCATAGCTTTCAGGAGTGGTTTCTTCATACTTCGACGGCGAGTGACTCCAGGACGCGTCTGTGTTTCCGAATCGTTAGATCCAGTGCAACTACTGCCAGCATTCCCATTAGCACCATTACGGTGAGATCTGTGAAGCCAGGACTGAAGTCTGAAGGACAGAAAGCAATTGGCAACGAATACCAGCTACTATGAGCATCTCTAATTCCAGCTACTATGAGCATCTCTTTAGTCTGAACAGGTCATGATAAACAATTGAACAATGTATCGTCACACCAAAGGAATTTTGAATTTGATCGGGTTTGTTGATCAATATTCGTGGCAATAGTCCTCCTTTCGGTTCGAAATCAGGCAAATGGACGATGACTTAACAATCATGTGCAATAAAAAAAGTCCCCAAATCCGTATGCGCCCAATCCGGGAACCTTTCTGACCCATCTAGAGTAGCAGAAATCAGCTTTTCAACAAACAAAACAAGTTGATTGCTTTCATCCAGGAAGTATGTATCGCGATGTCGAGTATTAAACCCAGGCATATTCCTTTAGAAGCCGATGCTGTTCAACAAAACATTGGCCCGGCCATGGTCTGACCAAGCTGAATAGTTCTTACCTCTTCTGCGTGTACTCCTGAATGAGCAACAACAGTAGTGAGAGAAAAACCCCTAGCACCACTACCAGAACCCACAGCCACCTGCAGTGCAGCACAGAACAGACATAGCACAATAATAATTGCAGTATTAGCCACGTTGGTGGACTGTTTTTTAAACTGGTTGCTCTCTCTCTGTCTCTCTCTCTGTCTCTCTCTCTCTCTCTCTCTCTCTGTCTCTCTGTCTCTCTGTCTCTCTGTCTCTCTGTCTCTCTGTCTCTCTGTCTCTCTGTCTCTCTGTCTCTGTCTCTGTCTCTGTCTCTCTCTGTGTCTCTCTCTCTCTGTCTCTCTCTCTCTCTCTCTCTCTCTCTCTGTCTCTCTCTCTGTCTCTCTCTCTGTCTCTCTCTGTCTCTCTCTCTCTCTCTCTCTCTCTCTCTCTCTCTCTCTCTCTCTCTCTCTCTCTCTCTCTCTCTCTCTCTCTCTCTCTCTCTCTCTCTCTCTCTCTCTCTCTCGGAGCTCTCGCTTTTCCGTCGTCATTGGTAAAGACGGAAAAGTGCAAGTTCCGGTGAGAGAAGCAAGCAACATTTATACAAGAGACCAGCCAGTCAGCTCAGTGCCTTCGCTAAGCTTAGTTTTTTCGCAGGTCATCATCGAACTTAGTGTTTTCAATACAAGGACATGTTTCTATCAACTGGAACATCACTGATGATGACATGGATAAAAACTAAGCACCCTGAGGTAATTGGCAGCTCTCTCGTTCCTTTTTTGGGTTTTTTACCACCCATACCTAGGGGCTTGAACCCGCTTTCCATGGTTCTTTTACTTAGTGTTTTTACGCGGTGGTCGGCGATGAGGGTTTAGCTTGGGATCCTTACAAACAGCGCTGATCAATGAAATTCCATCAAGCCAGTGAGTGCCACGCTGGGCGTTGTGCTGCTCTAGACATACAAACATTGGGATCCCGCCCACCAAAAAGGATTAAAGGATCAGTCGGGGAAGTGAATTGGCTGAAAGAGGAACTGGCTGAAAAGAAGAAAAATCGCCACAGAAAAATCGCCAGACCCATCAGAATTTGAAGTTCTCCCAATCCTTTCAAAATTTAATCACTTCCTTTCACTTCTGGAAGGATCCAGAAACTGACTGTGGTTGGTCCCCTGGGAGAGGGAAAAAGACCCAAGTGCCATCAGTATGTGTGGCACGTGTTGTGATCTGCCTTTGGATTGAAAAACTTGTCAGCGCCTTCTAGGTTCAGCCTGGTCCCATAGCTCAGTAGTTAGAGCATTGCTCATGACGAGCAAGGTCCCGGATTCGAGTCCTGGTGGGTCTGGCAATTTTTTAAATTTATTAACTTATTTATTTCACTCAACTCGTGGTCCATGACCACTTGGCACGCAAAGTGCGAGAGAGGGGTGATAGCCATCCACAGCAAGAAAAGGGAATGAAAAGAAAGTTAATGGTGTGGCGATAGTGAACACCCAAACGCCCCACTAGTTCTTACCAGTCTTGTGTGTCGGAAAAGAAAGTGATGATGAAGGACGGGATGCTGAGGATAGGCCCGAGGATGCGCGTGAACAGGTAGACTCGGTTGGTGAACTTGTCACTGATCTCGTCGGCGTTCTGACAGAGCATGATGATAAGGGTGACGACCCACGCAAACAGATTCACCTGAGACACATTCCGGAGGACATAAGGTGGAAAAGAAGCACAACAAAGAAACGTCCTACACTGCAATACCTGGGCAAGCAAAGCAGTATCATACAAAACCAGAAAAGGTACACTAAAATTCGAACCTTTGCAACTGCATTTTTCTGCCACACACTGAAAAAACTGGTCTGGATTCTCAAAGCAAATACAGCATAGTCATGCAAAACCAGACGACAGTAAATAAAAAGAGTGATATAGCCAAAGATGTGAGCACTTTCAGCGTTGCTTTCTCCGCTATGGCAAAATGGACTGGATATACAGGGTGAAGAAACATCATCTTCCGTACATGCAGGTTGAAGTGGATACGAGATAACCTCCTCAAGTATTTGCAGTGCTGCTCAATGAAAGCCAATCAAGCGGGTAAAAGCCACACTGGGCACTGTGGAGCCCTAGACCTGAGAACAGTGGGATTTGAAGTGGTGAAAGGTGTAAACTTGATGCACGTGATCAGATTTCATTCAGCAGCAACGTATACATGTACATGCAAGATACACAACTCCTGTGATGTTGGGTATAACAGCAGGACACACATAGAAGCATGAATGGAACAGAAGCCGATTTTTCAAATCCCACCGTGACACAGATGCGAGATTTGAGTAGAAGCCTTGCACAGTACATGCGTGACAGTAGGCACTGTACAGAATACATGCGTTGTAACCGTTGCACTTTCTTCTGCCTTCCTATCACTGCACACCTTGCACGCGCCTATCACTGCACACCTATGTACGCGCCTATCACTGCACAGCTTGTGGCGCCTATCAGTTGCACAGCTTGTGCAGCTTCTAGCACTTACTGTTAACGGCTAACCTTGGCACCTGTTATTCTACTTACTGTATAAAACTGCTTCTTACTAATGAAGAGACGATTATTCCTCAGCCGACTAAGTGAGACGTTTACAATGGTGACAGTACGCACTGCACAGTGTACAAGTAGACTCTAGTCCACGTTGCAGAAATGCATGCATTGAAACGCAGCACACCGTAAGTAGAAGCATGCTTTGAACCCCGGCATGTACGGCTGTAAGCACCTGCTTCCACACACACGACATCGTACGGTACCCGCACATCGGTGGGAGAACGATATCACTTACAATGTACAGGTTGATCATGAGCGTGTCTGCATCTGTCAGCGTGGACGTCGGAGGCAGCTGGTTGTGCAGGTTGACGTGGAAGAAGATGCCGGCGAGAAGTGTTGCAGCACACATCGAGAATCCTGAATTGTACAGATAACAATACAAAAATACACACAAACAGGAGTTGGAGAAGCTGAAAAAACACACAAACAAACTGGCCAAGACGGCAAGAAACAGAAAGACAAAGGGCTGCATAGCGCAAAACAGTAACATAAGAGACCATAGGTTGAATAGATAGACCGATGCGACGCACTTCTATGATATGACATTATCCGATATCTCCTAAAATTGTCTGGTGCAAATGTAACTGAGCCATTCATCATCCAGTTGAAATCACTTTTAGATGCGCACTCCCAGTCACATGATCACACAATACCACCTTGTGACTGCTCTAATCATTCCACCAGCCAGCAACCACTCTAAGTAATGTATCCCACGCAAGAATACCATCACGTACACCCCCCCCCCCCCCCCTCTCCTCTATGGATGTTTGTACTCCGGAACCTCTCTTATACATGAAAGAATAGTTTTATTTCTCGCCAGCCGAGCGCAGCGAGATAGGCGAGAAATGTTTTCTCGCGAAATGTTTTCAGTTGCAAATATGGCATCTGGTGTATTCTTTATTGTCGCTTCTTTTCCTGACTTCTTCAGTCAGTTTTGAGTCTCCCCAGTGTGATAGTCACATCTGGCTGCGGCCAACTACCCTTCACTTTGTGTTTTGTCGCTATTGCTGTCTATGTCTCTGTGTGTGCCAGTATATGTGGAGCGAGAAAGGTGCATGTATGACCAGACGAATAGAAAATCGAATCCTCCGGTCCTTAGCACGCATGGACGCCTGCACAAAAACCAGCAAGCGCACATACACAAACACAGACACCCTCGCACACTCATAAAAACACATGCACTGGAGTGCACACACACACACGTACACACACACACGTACACACACACACACACGTACACACACACACACACGTACACACACACACACGTACACACACACACACGTACACACACACACATACACACACAAGCAAACCCACGCACACATGATGTCTTACTTACTGGTTTCGTCCTTCTTGGGTGGCAGCCAGTATGTGAGTATGATGACAAGGAGAATGAACATAGGTGCCATGAAGACCTTGATGAATGCACTCCTCTCTGGCAAACACAATACATAAAGTCATAGAACACAACACAGTAAGAACGGAATGCAGAACACAGGGCACAGCATAATGTCAAAGTTGCGATACGGATCAAGAAAAGATGGAGCGTGCATGATGGGAAGATTGAGAGCAAGAGCAACCTACAAACCCCTGAAATGTCTCAGAACCACAGTTCGTCTTCTCTTTGAAAACAGCACTTCAATACATGAAGCACCTGTAATGCTCTGTGGACGAGATCAAAAACCACATGGTAACAGGAGGGTGTCTTACCGGGACGATCAAAGTTGATCATTCCGTAATATCGGGTCGATATCTTCTCTCCTCCCTGGCACCTGCAGAAAAACAAGAAAACTTAGTTACGTTCATACATGTGCACAGGACTGAACCTCAGACTAGAACTCTTGCAAAACCAAGAATGAAATCTGTGTCACAAGTGGAACAGTTAGAGAGGAATCAGTGGAGTTGCCGATCACATTTCACTCAATCTCCACGTATTTCCCACTCAACTCTCAATACATTCACACTCGATTCCAGCGGGATTCCCATCGATTGCCCCACAACGCCATGGAGAATATACAACGCTTACACAGGAGAGCTTTCAGTCTTAGACCCTCACTCTATAAACTGTGTTCACGTACGACAAACAACATTATGCGATGTGCGTGATTGCACATAGGATACAGGGAACATCAAAGCATGTCACTGCATGCATACGCCTTCTGCTAACCGATGACCATTTGCATGTGTTGCACCGACACTCCGTTACAATCAAGGGAACAGCACCCCCCCCCCCCCCCCCCAGCACACACACGCACGCACACACACGCACGCACACACACCGTGCCATGGACAGGCCCGTCGCAAGAGAATGATGCAGATCTGCAAATGCACTGGATGTGCACCCACAGATTTTCTCTTATAGCAACAATAGCAAACAAGATCTGAATGAGACAGATCAAGACTTGCGCCAGATAACTGTCTAATCCAGACAACTGGCGAAGCCATATGAATCGACCACCAATGCACACCTGGTCTACACCACACAGAGTACATCGGCATAAAACGACCAAGACAGTTACCTATGCACACCCTACACTTGCTGGGGTAACCAATATAGACAGCACGATGCTTTGATAGAAGCAGACACTAGATGCAATGGTAATTGATGTGAAATTGGACACACACAAATTCCCCCCCCCCCCCACGCACACACACACTTGCACACACGTCCATCGTCCAACCTTTATGCAGAACCATGACCAGAGTGCCCAGTCCAATGGCCTAGCAAGTGGTTCGTTCTATGATAAATATAATAGTGATGTTTGAAACTCGGATGTTGAGCCATAAATAAATGTGGAAGAGAAAAGGACATATGGATACGAGTTAAGAGTAACTCTCCATCACTGTAACATGATACCAAGAGTACATAACCCCCCAAGAGTGTGCAACTCCCACATACCCTGTTGTCCCGTCAGAATTTCAAGTTGACGTCATTTTTTATGATGTAATGGGAGTTGCTCGCGTCTTTTGAGACGTAGACCAGGTAGACACTGGAGCTCAACGCGTTCGCGGAGTTAGTTGTACAAGATCTAGAATGACCTTCGTGGTAGTTGTACGATAGATTGTAGAGGCCCCTATACGATCCTGGGCGAGAGCCGGCCCGCGCCGCATGCGGACTACGAGTCGTAAAAATAGCTTCTCTTTTTTATTTTGTTTGTTTGAAGTTTTATTTTGCATCACATTGCAAACCGAACAGCTTGTTCAGTCCATCTTGGTTGTCTTCTTTGTGCGACTTTGTGCTTTGAAAGTTTTCCGGGGTCCGCGATTCCTTGTGTTGACATGTTACGATTTGATCTCTTTGTGTAGCCAGCTGTCCGCGACTGCGTGAGTTTGCGATATTGCACTGGTTTCTGGCCATGGATGGTCACCTCTTAGACGTCGTCGAGGAGTCTTTGGTGGCCGAGGGTGAAACGGAACCAGTGGCACCAGGTTCAAGCGGAGCACCGGATGCATCAGCTTCTGTTGGATCGAGTTCCCATCCCCCGTCAAGGAAATCAAAGCTGCTATCAGCCACAGAACGACGACGCGTTGCCCAGTCCCTTGCTAGTATAAAAGCAGTGGACGTTGCGGGCAGCATACTAGCATCCGCTGCTGAAGAAAAGCACATGTCCTATTTCCCTGCCAGGAAAGAGTCGCTGGCCAATGATACTGCTGCTTGGCATTCTATAGTTGAGTATCTGCTTGCCACATATGCCAATATTTACAAGCAATGCTCAACGCAAGCAGAGAAGTACATAAAGCTTCAAGTGATGTGGACAAAAGCCGTTAGTCAACTTCATCCAGATGACAAGGTTCGCCAACTGAAACTGTCTGAGCTTGACAGGTGCAGCACACTGCATGCTGTTGCAGCAGCTGTTTGGAACCACTGCTGTTATGCAGTTAAGAAAACGATAGAGTGTAGCAATCAAACTGAGGATCACGTGTTGAAACCCGCTATTACCGAAGATCATATAACACGATTCTTTGGAGCTGCACTTCACCGAAGTATCCGCGCTTTGGTAGATAAGGAGAAGAGGAGAGGGAAGGCAAACACAGAAGACGAGGAGAAGCTGAAGCTCTTACGAACATTGAGGCTCCTAAAGGAAGAAAAGGAGCTATCCAATCTTCCAATGTCCCTACGTATTCGCGATCGTGGGTGGATGGCATTCCTCAGAGAAGAGTACATGGAGTATGCCAAACACGCAATGGAATCTGTGGTTGAAGTCATCAACCAAACCAATTTCAAGCGATATGGCTCCGACTTCGTTAAGGTGTCCACCACAACCATTCAGTGTGACAAATCAATCATGGAACAATTTGACCAAGCTGTCACTAAACATCAGCCTGGCATACACAACAGCAGCATAGTTGAAGCCTGTGGGCAAATGATACTGCTTAAGGTTGTGAATGCAATGTGTCAGGAGGTGATTGATGCATGCGAGCAGGTGCAAGTGGTATCGTCTGGAGCATCATCCACTAGTGGTCAGAATTTGCGCCCTAGTTTGCACATTGCCAATGTTTAATGTCAACATATGCCCAGGAACTGTATTCTTTCTTCGGACTCTGCTGCTGCTGATGTTTGTTGTCGTTTATTATTATTCTTAATTCTCAGGATGGCGACTCGCGCCAATATGAGACGTTGTTTTAAATCTTTATTCTCAAGTTCTTGTTGTTGTTGTTGTTGTTAATGAATTAGAAGACTGCAGCTGTATTTATGGGTGAACCCAATGTGTCGTCACCACCTTAACGTATCATTCAACCAGGTTCTTTTTGGTTCTTACATGTATTTTGCTATTTATTCTAACGTTGCTGCTTGTATTGCTGTTGACATCAACATAATCTCCCCGCGAGCGGAGGGTGTTTAGTACTTCTTGCTTTTTGTTGGGTTTTATGTTGCTTCAGGTTCTATTTTTTATAAAACAAGAATGCCTCTTTTACGGGCAAACAAAATACAATTCTATCTGCCATCACAATTTACGCTATAATGTCCACTACCACTACCAGTTACTTGACAATCAGCTCATTCGATAACATTGCACAACACTGACAAAACAATGTTATGCGTTCCTTCAGGTTCTGGTGCTGCTGATACTTAGTAATAAATTGTATTGTCACAATATCACGTCACGGCATGGGTCACTAACATTGATAATTGCAAAGTGTGAGTTGGTTAAACCGAGAGGTCATGTAAATAACAAAGATCTAAATTCAGTGTAGATCAAATTTCAATTTAATTCGACACAGGCAGCGCCTATTGACGGGTGTATGACAATGAAAATGTTTAAATAAGAAATTATGCGAATATATACATCTCTGTATCGCAAACTAACACGGTATGTCGGAAGAAGAATAACTTGATAACAGCAATAACAGCCTTCATCATCATGTGAGAAAGTGGAAACTGTGAATACTTCACAGCTATTAAAACTGAACTATAACCGAGAACTCATTACCCTGATGATGCCCAATGGGCGAAATATTGCTACTAATTTAAATTATTTTTGTCGTGAAGCTGAGAGCCTGTTCGGCGATGGAGGTGTTCATAAGTGTAAAACTGAGAACATCAAATCAAATTTTCACTTTCTTCTGCGCAAGTTGACTCGAGGCAAGTCTAGTGCAGCGTCGCGGTAATCCTTTCCACTGCTGTGGACTGTGTGGATACTCCTCTGTGTGAGCAGAGCTGCCCGGGCAGAGGAGTAGTTGCTTGCTGACAACTGGCCACCTGCAGCATGCTTCATTTGCGAGAAGACAGTCTCGATCGCACTGCCAGAGACTCTGACTGGGATTATGTAGGACTCTGGATGACGGTGGAGAAAGTCTTCGCAGAAAGACAGGAATCCATATGTCATTACTCGTAACAAGTCCCATGTCTGCCAGGAGATGAATTGAGTTTGATATGGGCTCACAGCTGGGTAGTTGGGCTCCTTGCTCAAGATGCTGTCTATCCAGGAGACAAAGTAGGAGTAGCCTTTCCTGATGTCGTCAAGAGGCTGGGATGACGATGTTTTCACATGAGCGTGTGACAGGGTTCCCGATTCAAACAAACTGTTGCACGCAAGAAGATACTGACGAGTTGCTTCCACTGCGTCCAGCTCGGCATCACTAGTAAGAGACAAGCAATGAGTGGCAAGCTCTGTGAGAACTTTATCTTGTTGCATGATCTTCGCCGGGAAAACATTCAACTTAGTCCATGGGTCACGCCAGATGTAGTTCTTCCTCAATTTTGGGATATCTCTGGGAACACCTCCACGCTGCCGCTGACATTCCCGTTCGTACATTTCAATGATCGGTTTCCATCCTATGGGGATGGAGTCACGTACAAAGGCCTTCGTGCCACCGGGACGAGATGAATACAGCGCGTTGATCAAGTTTTTCAACATATGCGATGGGCATATGACGAAATACAGTGTGTGCCCTGGCCAGAAGGGATGATCTGTTGACGCTGGTACCGCATATCGGTCACTGCTGTTTGTGGATGAGTTGCCAAAGGCTCCACGCATTCCGACCATGGCTTTGAGCAGGGTCAGGTTGGTCGATGCACCGTCACAAACTAGCGCACTCACCATCAAACCATAGGAATGGAAGAGCCGGAGGCTGTCCAGAACGCAAGCATAGATGAATTTGGCATCCATCGACTTTGGAGACGTATAGTAAGGGCCAAAGATGTCGGTGCTTGACATCATGTCTCTCCAAAGGAACTGCAGAACATATTCCGTACGCTGCATATCCGCATCATTCCTCAGCTCTTGAAATACATCCTGCAATGAGGTAAACTGGTCAGGGGTCATTGAAAGTCCATAGACTTCTTGACTGCTTGAATTCCACAGAACTCTGCTCACAACTTTCACCTCGTCAAATATCATGATGCCGTCTGACTTTGGCTGGGCCTTCCCTTGTAGCAAGCATTCCTTCTTCAGGTTGGTATACTGCTGCAGCATTTCAATAATGTGCTCTTCGCACCATCCTGGGGGATCATTGTGCCCCGAAGTGTAGTGCTGTAAGGAGCGGACACTTGGCAGCTTCAGGATACCGAAGGACTTTAGGGCTTGGTAAGCCGAGGAGCTCCTGGTATAAACGGCCAGAGCCATCCGGTATGTAATCATGGACCAGCGGTTCCCATGGCTACCATCAACATTTCGATCCTGGTCCTGCAAAAACTCGGTGTGGTTGTAGTTGTCTTGCTCCCATGCCTCTCGGAGCACATGGGAGTTGGTACCCGCCTCTGCCACGACGTCTTCGAACAACTCCAGCTGATCTTGCTGGAGTGCTTTACAGGCACTGTGCAGCTCATCACTTTGATCCTCACTAAGATGTAGGTCCAAATTTTCGTGGCGAGCTAGGGACCGCTTGAGGACTCGCCGATCTTGCCGCACATTTGCCAAGCGTTCCGTTTGACTGGCTGGCGACAAGTGCATCCATTTGACCTTGGAGGATGATGCGGTCCTCAGCTGCTTCTCCTCGCCCTTCCTCTGCTCAGCATTGGCCTTCAGAACGGTGCACTGGCGTTGCAGCAGCTTGCAATCACGGCACTGCACCATGGCAGCAGCTCTTTCTTCCATGGTTGCGTTCTTACTCAACTCATGGAGAATTTTGCACTTGGTCGAGTCCGTCCTGGTGACAGGAAAACTCCATGTCCTTACATTCCTGGAGTCAAACCGAACGGCTGCTTGAATGTCATTATAGTTAAAAAGGCCCGGGCAGAACTTGTAGGCCGATGACGGCACCATCATGTCCATCAGATGGCCAAGCTCTGCAAGTGTACTTGCCACTACACCTTCGGCTACGACAACACTATGGAATGCATCCAGCATATAAATTCCCGAACCATCGAGGGCGACGACCAGCCTGATGGCGGTGAACGGTGCTCCTTGCCTTGTTTGCATTGATGTGTGGTTTGGCGACACTTCTATCCACACCGTGCCATCCACAGAGGCCAATGTTCTTATTTGCAGCGATGAAGAATAAGTATCGTTTTGTGCTATCATCGTTGACATGAGTTTTACCGAGATGTCAGGAAAGTGAAATGCCTTAGGGACTTTTGAGGGCAATACTACTTGGTCCAGGACATTAGCGGCTTGACCATCACTGTCGCTAGAAACACTGCATGCACTTGCCAGCAGACGCTTTGAGCCAGTCGAAGCAACGCATCTTCTGGGAGTTTCCATCGTGAGAGCAGGCCCAAGGGCCGCTCTAGAAAATACTACAGCAGAACTAACGGCGTGAAATTTGAAAATACTACAACAGAGCTAACGGCTTGAAATTTGAAAATACTAGAACAGAACTAACGGCGCGACATTGCTACACTGTACCTCTCTACCTCCTACTCTGCTTGGAAACTCTAATTATACCACGACGCTTCTGCTACAGACGCTGCCACTACCACGACTTTCAAATTGCAGAATAAAAATAGACAGCTAGCGGCTGAACCAGCAGCCTGCTAGCAGGACAAGAAGTAAAAACTGCACAAAGGAACCACGGACCACAGAAAACTGTTACTTTCAAAGCACAAAGAAGACAACAATCCGTTTGGTTTGAGATGAAAAATAAAACTTCGAACAAACGAAAGAGAAGCTACCCTATCCCATGGCCATGGCCCACGGCACGGTGCCAGTGAACCGAAGGAAGTGACCGCCATACGGACTACGGTGCTTTCGAAAGTATACTGTATAATCGTACTATAATCGTATGCCGGCTCTCACGATCTATCGTACAACTACCACAAAGGTCATTCTAGATCTTGTACAACTAACTCCGCGAACGCGTTGAGCTCCAGTGTCTACGTCTCAAAAGACGCGAGCAACTCCCATTACATCATAAAAATGACGTCAACTTGAAATTCTGACGGGACAACACCCATAGTCGAGTTGCACACTCTGGGGGGGGGTTATGTACTCTTGATGATACTATATACAGTCAGAAAGTGCAATAACTAGGCACAAAACTGACAGAGTACTGAAACATTCGACGTCCTGACACCTAGCTTCAACACATCTCCGTAGCGCTAACCGACAGCCTTCCAACTTGGAAGGTTCAAGGTTATGGAAAAGACCAAAGAGGGGAAGGCAAGCGCAACGAAAACGAGCAAAAGCTACAGTCCCAACGGAACAAAGAATGTCGATTGTTACTGGACAATGACGAGACCAGTACGATATTTGACAAAGCGGTCTAACTACAATTCGAAGCAGCAAAGCAGCACACCACCCAACTTGGGTGGGTCATAAATATCAAAGATAAGTAAAGAAAGGGAAGCTTTGCGAAAACGAATTGTACAAGCCGAAAGCCAAACTCCTACAGTACTCCTCATGCATGACATTGTGATGGACTAGTTGACTACAAAACAAGTTGTTTCACACGACGTACGTTTCGCCGTATGGTTCGTGACGGCTCATCAGGTGTGCAATTTGAAACTCGCTTTGTCAAATATCGTACTGGTCTCGTCATTGTCCAGTAACAATCGACATTCTTTGTTCCGTTGGGACTGTAGCTTTTGCTCGTTTTCGTTGCGCTTGCCTTCCCCTCTTTGGTCTTTTCCATAACCTTGAACCTTCCAAGTTGGAAGGCTGTCGGTTAGCGCTACGGAGATGTGTTGAAGCTAGGTGTCAGGACGTCGAATGTTTCAGTACTCTGTCAGTTTTGTGCCTAGTTATTGCACTTTCTGACTGTATATAGTATCATGTTACAGTGATGGAGAGTTACTCTTAACTCGTATCCATATGTCCTTTTCTCTTCCACATAATAGTGATGCCCAATATTTAAAGAGCTAAGCAATACAGTTAGTTGAAACAAAGTTCATTGCTGAAGATTACCTGCAAGAAAAGTGACTGGTGATGTTATGGTACACCTTGGGCGGCTTGGCACAATCGCAGTCTGGTGTGATGGAAGACGCGTCGAGACACGTGGCATCCGGCGCTGAGAACGGTGGCCAGCATCTCTCCACCACACTGTGCGTGGTCGTGAGGGTCAGGGACTCCTCGCCAGGGAAACGAATGGAGCTCGACAGTCCACTGGATAGTGCAGACATGAAACAATACAGCAAATACACAGTAAGTTTAATATGGCAATCAAGAGTACTAACTGTGCGGTAACCAATATATACACAGTGGTCATGAATGTTACAAGGTTCAAATCTAGTGAACTGAATGGTCAGATTGCATGGCCCTCACTACATAAAAAAAGTAATTTAGTCGACAGATGGTAGCAAAACGTTGTACATCCGATTAGTTGACTGAGGTGATGGCTTAGTTACGGCAAAGGTGCAGCCAAGCTCTAATTGCACACACACATATAATATATTATACTGTCACACGCACACAAAAACACTTGCTCGTACAATTACACGGACACGCGCAAGAACACACACACAAACACGCATATAGACACACACACACACACACACACCTTACCTGTACTGGTTGATGTGACAGAACACAATATCAAATCCCTGACGGTAACACAGCAAGAACAAGAAATCAGATGGCAAAGTCATAAAAAGCATACTAATGTACTAAAATGGGGTTTAAAACACAGCTTTCAGTGTGGCTGTAGTCTTGAATGTGATATTGCCGACCCAAGAGATATGGAAATACAGTGTTATTTAAAAGATGGATGGCGTTGTAGCGTGATGTGTGTGTGTGTGTGTGTGTGTGTGTGTGTGAGAGAGAGAGAGAGAGAGAGAGAGAGAGAGAGAGAGAGAGAGAGAGAGAGAGAGAGAGAGAGAGAGAGAGAGAGAGAGAGTATGTGTGTGTGTGCAGGGGGCGGGGGAGGGTGGAGGAGAGGGTGTACATGTATGTACGTATGCACGTGTCTTTTCCCTTGGTGGGTTTTTTTGCGCATACACCAACGGATGCACTAGTAATACTCGTACCAGGTTTGCCTTTTAGTCATTGTTGAGTGTACTACCTGTAAGGCTTCAGTGAGCATTTACACAACACTTGGATTATACCAAAGCAGCTCTTTGAAAGTCTGACTGCAAAGCTTGTCAAGCCAGCTCCATCAGTAACATTTCAAAATCCACCATCTGAACTGAGCAATACACAAAACCTGGCACCCACGTCTGACTGAAGCTGCTCGTTGAACTCAATGATGAGCTCCAGCGTCTGCGTCTCAAACGGCCAATCAGCCAGCCTTGTGCGAAAGTAGTGATCACCCTGAGAGGACACAAAAAGACCATGAAAGACTCTTACACTCCTTAAAAAAGCATACGAAGGCTGCGAACATGTTCACAATACTGTTCCCCGTGAATTCCGCGGCAGAATATCAGAAGTTCTGTGCAGAATTCTGCGGCTGAAAACAGTAAATTCTGCACTAATTCTTCAAATCCTGCCAAATTCTGTGGCAAATCTGCAAGAGAAATGAGCGTAAAAACACAGATTAAATTTCCGCAACACCACCGAAGTTTGTTGTCCCTACAAATTGTGAACCGAAATTATGCGAAATCCTGGTCTAAAAAATTGAAAGCTACAAAATGTACCCTGCAAGTTGATTTCTTGAAAGTCACAAGCGGGTTCGCTTGGCTGTGAATACATCAAAAATCTCCAGAAAAAGCAGTTTTTCTCTTTTTTTCTGCAATATTCCGCGTGATTTTCTAAATTCTGCGGACACTACTGGTTCTGCGGAAAGTCTGCAATCCGTGGAATCGCGGAATTCACGGGGGACAGAAAGATTGTGAGTGGACTAAGACAGGTAAGATATATACACTTTTCATATATCACAATCCATGCTGTTTTGTTGAGAACTAGTGGCGTGCATGGGTAGTTGGGTTCCCATGCTACCCGACCGGACCTCGGGTAGTCGGGTGCAGAATAGCACCCGAAAACCCGAAGTTGCAGATGACATCATGTTCAGTGCACTTGTACAAATTCATGTGATACTCCGCATGTCTACCCAGTATGTAAGTCAAGGGGTGCATTGCGGTGTGACCATGGAAACATTTCCGGATCGGGTACCCGTGCTACTCGTGGAAAACTACCCGAACCCGTCATCCGAAGAAAATGCTACCCGACTCAGCCCTATTTAGAACCATGCCACAAACACACCTTTTCGCCGGAGTTAATGATAACAAATGCTAGAGCGGAAGCCATAGCAACTTGTGCAGGGACTGCACCATTTAGCAGCTTTCAAGGCTGAAGACTTCACTGGCACTGTCCAGCCTGGTCTACACCACAGAGCTATTTGAAGTGGCTTTCTGGCTAGTGAATCCCTACTTTTTGGGTTTTTTTATATTTCATTCATGCACTGGCTGTTGGTAACCACCCAGGAGAATGAAAGAAAAGTCAGGAGGAGTCTGAGAAAGAGAAGAAAGACGTTTGCAACCATAAACATCGGGAAACGAATCCGCAACTTGTCGATTTTGAAATCGAATGCACATACGACTGCACAATATGGGCCACACACACACACACGCACACACACGCACGCACACACACACACACGCACACACAGACCTACAGTGGAACCTGTCTAAGACGACCGCTCATGGGACCTTAAAAACCTGGTCCCTGTTACCAGGTGGTCTCCTTATCCAGGGTCATTCGACTGGAAATCGCATCCCTTGGTGCTGGTTCCAATGGTCTTCTAGGACAGGTGGTCATCTTATCCGAGTGGTCGCCTTGACAGGTTTTACCAAGAGTACATAACCCCTCAGAGTGTGCAATGCCGATCGAGCTCTGCATAGGGTCTTGGTCGAGCGGAATCGGATCTTCTGATGTCATGCGTACACTCCACACCAGCGCAAGGCCGGTCTCGAGGCAGGGCACCATTGTTTTTGATCCGAGAGTACGCGCGACTCCCCGGGTTCCCTTCAGATGTGTCCGGTATTATGACGCAAAGATCCGATTGCGCTCGACCAAGACCCTACGCAGAGCTTGATCAGGCGTTGCACACTCTGGGGGGTTATGTACTCTTGGTTTTACTGTAATCACATGACAGTCAGTACTTACAAGCACACGAAACTGGCCGCTGTACTCCAGTGGCCTCACTTCCCCCGTCCGCTTCAAGTTGACAACGGCAATGTCCTTGGCCGTGCCATTCCACTCCATCCAATCTGCAGTGCACAGTTGACAGGGGCATGACAGCTAAGAAACAACCAAGTATGAAAAGTGCAAGCTACCGAGAACCAACAGAAACTCATCGGTTTAGCAAAGCTCCTGGACACAGTGTGAACCTCTGGACTGTCATCACCCTAACTGGCATGTGTGCATCGGATTATACTGTATGTTATGCTCATTGTCAAACATGCTTGATCTCTCAAGTTGATGATGCGACCACTGATTAAAATACTCATTCGACATGATCTCAAACGAGAGTGTACTACAAGTAGAAATATATCACTCCACATGTTTTCATTGCTATACTTTCCCTTTGCACAACAAAGCTATGTTCACCCTTTTCTAACACTTGGCTGCACGTCATCATAACATTGGGCATGATCGTCTGCTTGGTGCACGATGTAATTAATAGAAGTATATGTACAATATACAAATACTGTTGTACAGGCAATGATCCCAAAACTAACGATAACAGGGCACATGCACTTACCAGCGTTGTCGGTGTCGCTACAGATGCGGTCCTTCACATTCGCCAGACCCTTGGACACCGCCTGTTCGTACGTAGGAAACACCGTCTTCAGCTGATGTATGGTCAGCAGATAATCAAGGTAGCAAGATCCGCCAGCGATATCCACCTCTGTAGACACACAAAAAAAGTTTACTGTCTTCTCAGATAGACTGAATTCTCCGCATCCGTAGGAACGCCACCACCCTCAAAGGTAAAAGGTACAGACGCTACATATGAAAGAGAGATAATTATGTAATAAAGATTTGTGTGAAACATGTAAAACATAACTGGAAAGTGTTGCATTCAAATGCAGATATGCGTTATTCCGGCCGAACATTTATCGCAATCACTGGACCGAATCTTATCCAATGTACATTGTATAGGCAACTGCCTGAGGATGGAAAGCCATTATACTCATTTACTGTATGCATATATTTAGTGGTGTGCATGGGTAGTCGGGTACCCGTGCTACCCGTGACGACCTCGGGTAGACAGGTACAGAATAGTACCCCGAAAACCAAAGTCGCAGATGACATCATGTACAGTGCACGTGTACAAATTCATGTAATACTCCGCATGTCTATCCAGTGTGTAGGGGAAGGGTGAATCGTGGTGTTACCCTGGAAACATTTCCCGAACGGGTACCCTTGCTACCCGTGGAAATCTATCCGGACCCGATACCCGAAGAAAATGCTACCCGAGTCAGCCCTACATCTGTCATAGGATGCAACTTGCGACGTGTCGGGATTGTAACTCACCACCGACATTGAGCACATACACGCCGATTCCAACACGCGTGAAGTCCGCATGCACTGTTGACAGCCATAGCAGGACACAGGCCAGGGACAAGGCAACACCTGTCGGCCTAACCCTGGCACGATCCATGAGCACGGAACCTGCTCTGGTTGGTTACAGGTAATCTAGGATCTATGAAGTACCAAGACAACAATAAGAACATTCAATGATGTTTCAGTTCACAGGACAACAGCGATTTAAAAACGCAATGCCGTCAGAAGTCGATGAAAAAAGACTTTTGGACCGCATCCACCGGTAGTGACTGGACTAAGCCCTCCTGGTCAGAGACCCAATCCTGACGCACAAAACAATCACACCTACCGCATTTCCCCGATTATAAGTCGCACCCAATTATAAGTCGCACCTACACTTTCAGGTTTGAGCAATATTGCCATGATTTGATATATTGACTTCATTAGTAAGTCACGCTCGAATGTAAGTTACACCCACTATTTTACCCTTGAATTTTAGTGTAAAAAGGTGTGACTTATATTCGGGGAAATACGGTACACGCGACCCGATGGGTCCACCCATCCACTACATCCCATACTTTACCATGGGTAGAGTGTATCCAAAAATCGGTGTCTGTCGTTAGATTTTGACTTCCGATGACTTCTGCCGCCATTGCTTTCAAGCCCAACAACACACCCGTTTCTCTTTTGGTGTTCCCAGCTGGCTTTGCCTGGTCTTCTGTGCTTCTGAGCAGATCGTCTATACTTCTGAGCTGACACGCATGTCTTGATGCACCATCATTGGTCGTTGCACCTTCCTTATCGTAGCATGCCATCGGGGAATAGAAATAATGATGAAGGTAATAATGTCAGATGATCCACTGGAAAAAAATATACCCTGAGCATGCATGCTAGGATAAGTTTGCGAGGACGTTATGTAGGCCTGTTCCATCCATCAGCGTTCCATCTGTTCCACCTCTCCTTTGTGCCATGGTTGCGGTTGTGAATTGGAGTGGGAACGATTGCAAAACGCTGCCATGTATCCAGGCATATTTCTGAACACACACACACCCCTTCCGTAAGTCAACACATTTTTGTTCTGTACATAGTTGGCCTGAAATTTGTTGCGGTCGAAATTTTGTTATGCAAAGGTTCAATGTGACAGTTTGTACAGCAGCTCAGGGTGAAACTTCAATGCGACCGAAATGCGTTTCAGCCCAGGGAGACCGAAAAAAAATAGGCGTTTGGAATATCTTTCAGTTCAGTCCAACACAAACTGTAGCTGCCTGCCTTTCAAATAAATAAGCCATTAAAATGTCATGTAGGCATTACTAGTACCAAGAGTACATAACACAGAGTGTGCAACTGTGCATATCAGATCTGAAACAGTGCAGTTCGTGCACTACGTCACCCTGATGAGGTCAGCCAAGCCGCGACTTGCGTACAGCTCAAATTTTCATGTTTCATAGCCCGGAAATCAGCCAAGTTTGCTTGATTTTAGACGTCCAGTTTCAGGATTTCGGTGTTTTGTGTGACTGTGTACGCTGCGTACATTCACCGACAAGTAAAGTCACCTGGCTATCCGTATCAAAAAAACGAAATCAGGACAAACTCAGTGACCCGCACCACCGCGACTGGTTACGCAACTTTTCACCGTACCTGTGGCTTACCATGCCGGCAGAAATGACGTACTGCACGAATTACACTCCCACAGGAACCATCCCGAGTTGCACACTCTGGTTTATGTACTCTTGCTAGTACTCCTTAGAAGAACGCGACTCAATGACCGATAGTACCGCTGCACTAGTTGTATGTGTGGTGGGGGTGTGCCACTAGTCAAGTGCAGGTGACTGTTTTCCTGTGTGTGTGTGTTTTTAGTTCCTTCAGACAAATATTTGTACTTCTTTCTCGGCAACGCACACACATGTGCATGATGGATACCTTGGATAGCGACCAAAGATAGAGGGTGCTTACCGTTACTGTACCTCTGATCGAACGCTCCGCACTTAGCAAGACTACACTGGTTATTAGTACTGAGGACCCAACTGCCGTGGTCCGGTAACTACAAAAACACAACTGAGTTCTTCAAAATGGGTATTTTGCCAATGCACACCACCCGTAGTCACTTGTGACCAGATTCACAAAATTCCATGCACTGGAAGCTGGCAATAAAGCAAAAACACTCGCTAACTTTCTGGAATCTTTGAAATGAGCGAGCTACATGACTGTGACTCGGTAAGGGTTAGTTACTCTGACTCCTACAACAGCGAATAGAAGAAAATAAGTGGAAAGTAGCATGCCTTGATGTCCTGGATTTTTAGTGAAAAGCAGAAAACTGTCACCTGGTCACCCTTGACCGGGTTGACACTTTCACCGATTCTGATATGAGGCCGCGGCGCGCGCAACATTTCGGAAAACATCAAAAGTTTATGCAGCCGCTAGTACAGACTCAGTAGCCACGCAGTGCAGGATTTACCACTACGGCACTAGTAATGTACTCACTACCACTCTTGACTTGGGCCTAGCCTAGGACTAGTAGTAGGAGTAGGAGTAGATCTACGAGGAAATCAGCGGCTTGGAAAACCTAAATCTGAGTGTCAGTTTAGATCTATACACGACATGACCGACAGTCACCTTTGCGTATTACTATTACATGTATGTACATGACACGACACTCGGCCAGGGCATCAGGAAACTGGAAAGAGTCCTTATTCGCGAAGTGTCATGTACATGACTGTATTACAGTTGGATGGGACTTTGCTCTGGGCATGGAAATTCTGTCGTTATTCGCGAATTGTCGTTATGTGACTTATATGTCCGCAGTCGTTATTGGCGAAGTTATAAATTTTCGTGAAGGGGCACGAAATAACTAAAGTTTGTACCAAACTAAATTGTTATTCTGAACGTTCGGGGTGACAGACCGCGACGAAAAACGAAATTTAGTACGTAACAAGCCTGCTGGTGGAGTGATTTAAAGGAACGGATCCAGTTCCATAACCTTCGACCAGGCAGGACCGCGCTTTCCAGCCCGCGCAGTTTGATCTGTCATTGTATGGTTCTGGCAATTTCACTGCTTTTCGAGCAGAATCTGCCACCTTTTCGAGCATTATCCGCACACCCCAAGCACGAGGTCAATAGAAAATAAAATCCGAGAGTAAAAGGCCGAGGTGAAGCCGAGGCCTTTTACGTGGTTTTTATTTCCTCTACTGACCAAATACGAAGTCAATATTAGATTTATCACGACTAGCCAAAGCCTGTGTTCAATCCCTGAAAAGGAGTATAATAATTATAAGCAGTCAATATAGCCGTAATAGCTATAGAGAGTGAAATATGCAGGATTATCTCTCTTCTATATCACCCTCCATTAATTCTTGTGATCCTTGACTGGTCTTATATGCATATTACCCATATCGCCGTAATATCGACCACTTAGCATTGTAATATGTCGACTTTGGAGCGCCTTAGTCATTTTTTCTCCACTTCAAAAAGAGAAAAAAGACCTCGGCGGACCTCGGTCTTTTACTCGGCCTATATTACCCATAATAATAGACCTCGTCGGTCAATATACTATGCATAGTTGACTGCTTAGGCATATCAAAAATCTATGGGAGTCAATGCTAAGGGAGTGATAAAAAAATATTATTACCAGTATTACAACTATCATCATAATTATAGGCTGAAACTCAGACGTAGAGCTGCGTCTCGATCTGACAACATTTCGAAACACTGGCACTGGCTACTTTTTTACACATCTATACAGTACAATAACTTAAAGTACGTTTGTGAAAGTGTTCATGTTTGTTGTGTTGCGTATGTGTGTTGTGTATGTGTGTGTGTGTGTGTGTGTGTGTGTGTGTGTGTGTGTGTGTGTGTGTGTGTGTGTGTGTGTGTGTGTGTGTGTGTGTGTGTGTGTGTGTGTGTGTGTGTGTGTGTGTGTGTGTGTGTGTGTGTGTGTGTGTGTGTGTGTGTGTGTGTGTGTGTGTGTGTGTGTGTGTGTGTGTGTGTGTGTGTGTGTGTGTGTGTGTGTGTGTGTGTGTGTGTGTGTGTGTGTGTGTGTGTGTGTGTGTGTGTGTGTGTGTGTGTGTGTGTGTGTGTGTGTGTGTGTGTGTGTGTGTGTGTGTGTGTGTGTGTGTGTGTGTGTGTGTGTGTGTGTGTGTGTGTGTGTGTGTGTGTGTGTGTGTGTGTGTGTGTGTGTGTGTGTGTGTGTGTGTGTGTGTGTGTGTGTGTGTGTGTGTGTGTGTGTGTGTGTGTGTGTGTGTGTGTGTGTGTGTGTGTGTGTGTGTGTGTGTGTGTGTGTGTGTGTGTGTGTGTGTGTGTGTGTGTGTGTGTGTGTGTGTGTGTGTGTGTGTGTGTGTGTGTGTGTGTGTGTGTGTGTGTGTGTGTGTGTGTGTGTGTGTGTGTGTGTGTGTGTGTGTGTGTGTGTGTGTGTGTGTGTGTGTGTGTGTGTGTGTGTGTGTGTGTGTGTGTGTGTGTGTGTGTGTGTGTGTGTGTGTGTGTGTGTGTGTGTGTGTGTGTGTGTGTGTGTGTGTGTGTGTGTGTGTGTGTGTGTGTGTGTGTGTGTGTGTGTGTGTGTGTGTGTGTGTGTGTGTGTGTGTGTGTGTGTGTGTGTGTGTGTGTGTGTGTGTGTGTGTGTGTGTGTGTGTGTGTGTGTGTGTGTGTGTGTGTGTGTGTGTGTGTGTGTGTGTGTGTGTGTGTGTGTGTGTGTGTGTGTGTGTGTGTGTGTGTGTGTGTGTGTGTGTGTGTGTGTGTGTGTGTGTGTGTGTGTGTGTGTGTGTGTGTGTGTGTGTGTGTGTGTGTGTGTGTGTGTGTGTGTGTGTGTGTGTGTGTGTGTGTGTGTGTGTGTGTGTGTGTGTGTGTGTGTGTGTGTGTGTGTGTGTGTGTGTGTGTGTGTGTGTGTGTGTGTGTGTGTGTGTGTGTGTGTGTGTGTGTGTGTGTGTGTGTGTGTGCATGCCGGAGTACGTGGTGTGATGTGTGCGCGGCAATAATATGAAAAAGACCAAAAAGTAGGGATTCACTGGCCAGAAAAAGCCACTTCATAGCTGTGTGGTGTAGACCAGGATGAATAGTGGCGGTCAATTCTTCAGCCTTGCAAGCTGTTGAATGGTGCAATCCCAGCACAAGTTGCTATGGCTTCTGCTGTAGCATCGCTATCATCGCCTCCGGCGATGGGCGTCCAATGGTCCAATGGTGTGTGTGTGTATGTGAATCTGTGGGTGCACATCCAGTGCATTTGCAGATTTGGGTGCTTCTCTTGCGACGGGCGTATACATGGTACATGTTACATGGTGTGTGTATGTTCGCGCGAAGGGGTGGGAGTAGGAGTAGAAGTGTGAAGGAAAGGGACAATGCCAAACAAAGACGCGTTACTTTTTTTTCTTTTTTTTTTAATGTTTATTTGGATTCGGATAGCTCAACAGTACAGAAGTACAACTACAAAGAGTACCGAATAGAAGGCCCCGAGAACGGGAAACCAAAAAAAACAAAAACAGCAACATCAAGTTACTGATTATGCACATTGCTTGAAAGCAAATCACAACAATGATTAAGAGTTAAGCTGTCTTTTAGCCAAATAGCCAATTTGACGCGGAAATCTGCGATAGTAGTGCAGGACTTCAGGTCGTCTGGTAAATAATTCCAAACAAGAGCCGATTTACTTGAAAAGGACAGAAAGCCAGACATAGATCTATAGCGATTGATACTCATGTTATGAGTTGTAGAGCCGCGAGTAGTTCGGGTAGACGTACAGATGGGAAAGAGGGACTGCAAGCAAACAGCCGGCTTAATACAGTAACAGTGGAAAATGTTACTCACCTGAAACCACAGAAATATATAACTCTGGCTCAAGTGTTCCAGTCAGGCCGGTGTAGGAAGAGCATTCATATGGTGGTGATGTGCGACACGCCACTGTCTCGGGTGATGGCACGCGAATCCGACGGTTCAACTGTGGGTAGAGGGAAGTAAAAGGGCTTTTTTCTAACGTACAATGAAATAATTATTATGGCCCTAGAAAGCTCGAATGAAGAAAACGAGGAAAATGTCCAAAATTCAGAAATCAACCCAAACTCAGAAAGTAGGAAAGGGCAACCTGGGTTTTATAGTGGTGAGAGCAGAACATGAAGTGATATCGCAGCAGCTACGCCGTACTACTTGCGATCTCTAAGTCAGTAAAGGTGAGAATGGAAGCCACGCATCAGATCGAATCTACATCGAAATTCAGAAATCAACCAAAACTCAGAAAGTAGGAGAGGGCAAGCTGGGTTTTATAGTGGTGAGAGCAGAACATGAAGTGATGGCTGAGCAGCTACGCCGTACTGCTTGCGATCTCTAAGTCAGTAAAGGTGAGAATGGAAGCCACGCATCAGATCGAATCTACATAGAAATGCATCTACAAATATTACACAGCAGTGAATCAAACAAGTCTCATTCCGCTGTTACTCCGAGTTTCGTGTCAGAACACTTCATCAGACAGCATATGACCAAGACTAACAATCACTAGAGTAAAACGGAGAAGGGGAGAAGGCATCTACATGTACATTATACGTGTATAGTAACTATGGAGGAATTATTCATGACTGTGCTTGAAGTGTACACTACATGTATCTTTCCTCCGACATGCCTGCAAGAATCCAGATAACTGGGAATTGGGCGCTGATAGGACCCATGCCTGCAAGAATCCAGATAACTGGGAATTGGGCTCTGATAGGACCCATGCCTGCAAGAATCCAGATAACTGGGAATTGGGCGCTGATAGGGTCACCCATGCTTTGTGGGGAAATGTGGCCAACGTGTCAGTATGTACTTACCAGGAAACAATACGTAATCATACGGAATATCTTTGTGATGCAAACATTATCCGGCAAGTCGTAACGAAGAGCAGATGATTGCATAATTAAAGGCACTGCCTCGATAGACAAACATCGCATTAATATTATTACTCAGAATTCTCCTCACAATTGATGTAATTATACTGCATTACCCTTTTCGCGTGCGTAATACGGTTGGTGCACTTGCCCTCTCTCTGATCTCTCGGCTCTCAATCCACCACGACTCTCTCCTATGAGATGCAAAACTAGAGAACTATATAGAATCTAACAAGGCCGTTGGCAAGGGCCTAGGGGGCCAGCTAGGAAGCTTCAGCTGGTGTCTATTGCGGGAAACAAGCAGCAGGCAGCAAAACAGCTAAAGAATGTATGTGATAGTGTAGCAAGCAACCTGGAAATGCCATTGATTACTCGCAGCACGCTTAAGTGCTACAAAGGAAGCATTGGAGCATGAAACTGATATCGCAGTGAAGATAAGTCCATACAACAGCACAAGGACCTCTCGCAAATGAAGCATAG